AGGTGCCACGAGAGCTGTACCTGGCAGACGGGGACAGAGCTGAAAGTCCTTGGTTGGCATGTTGGGCTTCCAGTGTGCCATTCCCATGAGTGACAGAGTTCTGAACATGGGACACAGTGCCAAGTGGTCAGCTGAGGGGCTTGCTAGCTATTGGTTCTCTGAACCCTTGTCAAATGCCGTGTTGGTTCCTTTTACCAGGTGGCTGCTTGTGTTCAATTTCAGCAGGCTCATGAAGCCAACCAACAGAGCCCCTGTGGACTGCTGACACCCCCCTGCACCTGGGCTCCCCGCAACCCCAGCTGAAAGCCGCCGTGTGCTCGATTTCTGCCTTTGAGGCCAAAACCTGCCTGGCAAAGTTGCCCCATACCCAGTGCCATCTGCTCGTGAAATCAAAACCCCACGGCTGATTCTTTTGGTGCACCTGCCCCGGACACCCCATTGGGCTCCCAGGGTGTGACCTAAGTGACTATGAAACAAATATTTGTTTCTGGACACCTTGTCAAATACCGGGGTCCGTGGGGAAAGACGTCATTACTGTGTGGCTAGATCAATGTCAATAAAATCTAACCTGATGAAAACCTGCAGTCAGGCCAGAGCTCATTACAGCAAGCTGCCGGGGCAGCTGCGGGACCGGGAAGGACCACAGGGCACCAAGTTCAGCAGAGTTTAAGCGGCAGTCCCTTAGCCCTCGCGGGCTGCGCTGGGGCGCCCCGGTGCCTCAGAGCCTGCGGGGGAGGCCCACAGATCATCTTGCGAGCAGAAATCCACCGAGAGATTGCACAGCAGATGTGCTACTTCAAGAGTGGGTGCAGAGCGGTGCTCAGAGCGGAGCCGGCGCCGGCCGCTGTCCACAGTCGGTGCTCTGCTGCCATCTTGTGGCTGCACAGTGCCATTTCCCTTCCAATTCATTCAGAAAAACTGACGACCCAGATGGCAGACCCTGTCCCAGGCACCCACCTAGGGCTCCTGCAGGCGTTCTGTGTTCATCATTCCAAGTTCTCAGAATCTGGGGTCATGCCTGACCTCAAAACTGCATCTGTTTAAGGCCTCACAGGACATCACTCCCACACAGTTTAAGGTGACTTTTGCTAACCTCCGCTCAATCAATCAATCCTCAGTGTCACTGTTAAGCTAAAAATATAACTAAGGTCGGTGGCAATCCAAGTGCCTGTCTTCCTACAAATTCTTTTCTGCGTTACTCTTTTTTTTTTTTTTTTGACAGGCAGAGTTAGAGAGAGAGACAGAAAGAAAGGTCTTCCTTTTTCCATTGGTTCACCCCCCAAATGGCTGCTGCGGCCGGCACACTGCACAGATCCGAAGCCAGGAGCCAGGTGCTTCTCCTGGTCTCCCATGGGGTGCAGGGCCCAAGCACTTGGGCCATCCTCCACTGCACTCCCTGGCCACAGCAGAGAGCTGGCCTGGAAGAGGGGCAACCGGGACAGAATCCAGAGCCCCGACCGGGACTAGAACCCAGGGTGCCGGCACCGCAGGCAGAGGATGAGCTTAGTGAGCCATCGTGCCAGCCTCTGTGTTACTCTTATTTAAAGAGTGGAATGCTTGCCAAAGATCTGTCCTACCAACCCTTCAATGGAGGAAGAATCAGTAATAGAGACTGTTTGGAGTAGGCTTCAGTTTTCTGTTTATTTGAAAGCCAGAGTTACAGAGGAAGAAGGAGACTCAGAGCGAGGTCTTCCATCTGCGGGTTCACTCCCCAGATGGCTGCATTGGCCAGGCCTGGGTGAGCCTGGGGCTTCATCCAGGTCCCCCACGTGGGTGTAGGGGCCCAGGGACTTGGGCCATCTGTCTACTGCTTTCCCAGACTGTAGCAGAGAGCTGGATCAAAAGTGGAGCAGCCGGGACTCGAACCGGCGCCCGTACGGGATGCGGCAGTGCAGGTGGCGGTTTTACACCAGCTACTGCACTGCTTCACACGCCCCACACTTGGCTGTCGGCCGAGCCCAGTGTCAGCCTTTGGAGCTGCACACGTATGCTGTGGGGTCGGCCAGGGGGCAGGGCTGTCCCTGCTGTCCCCAGGTGTCCGACAAGGCCAGCCAAGGGGTAGAGGGGGCCTGCTGTGGCCTTCCAGAGCCCCCCTGGAGAACACAGCAGTGTGGGAAGCCAGGTTCTACAGGAGGGGACCCCAGGGCCTCCTGGAACCCTGGGTCCTGAGGAGCGGGGTGGCTGCTGGGGAGGGGGTGGGGTCCACAGCAGACCCGCAGGCCGTGGGGTCGCCAGATGCCGTGACAGGCAGCTCAGCCGGAGTGCCACACACGCACACACATGCACACCCTGACACCCAAGACCTCCTTTGGCAAGTTAGGGCGCTGCAGCTCCCAAACCAGGGGTGCGGACAGGTTAGCAAAGCGCCTGTCCTGCAGGCCTGACACAGCGGCCCCCTGTGCACCCCGCTGTGCGCCCTGGTCCCAGAGTCGCCCCGTGGGCTCCCGTGGTCTGCCAGTGACCCACGGGCACGGAGAACACATGGTCCCTCCTCTCCAGGAGGGAATTCCCCAGGAATTCCCCAGCCCCCTAGGAGGAGCTGCAGGGACAGACTGGGCGGGGGGGAGGGGAGTCACTCTGGCCAGCGCAGTCAGGGAGGGAGCACGGGCGGCACAGCAAGCAAAGGCCTGCAGGCGGCACCTGTGGAGAGGGGTTGAGCAGGGCGCCGGCACCTGCGGCAGGAGAGAGAGGTGCGGCAAGAGGAGGAGCGGCCAGGGGCAGAAGCAGTCAGCACCAAGGTAACCAAGTGACCGAGCCCAGGGGACAAGGACCAAAGCCCCTGTCCACTCCCCTTCTGCGACACCCCGGGGCCCAGGCTTGGACGGCTTAGCAGCCCAGCGGGGGTCCTCACCTCTGCCCACAGCGCCCAGGCTGCACCCTGGGACTGAGATGCCAGAGTTCTCCAAGGCCGCCCTGGGGATTCTTGGGGGTCTTCCGCGGATCCGCTAGGCCAGCCAGCTGCGGTCACCCACCTGGGCTCCTGGAGACAGATGGGATTGGTTTCCATGGTGTTTTGTGTTGTTTTGTTTTGTTTCAACTCCAGGAGTGGTAAATGCTTGGGAGGGGACAGAGCGCCCTCACCTGGTGCAAACGGAGAATTTCATGCCCTGTTAGTAACCAAAGACTTGCAAAGAAAGAAACTGAATTGTGCGATACTGTGTGGTTCTATTAAGCAAGAAACTAGATGGAGCCGGGAGCCTGGGAGGGACAGTGGTGTCGGTGTCGGCGCATGGAGCTTATGTCCCCGGCCGACCTCACCGCGTCCTCCCCCTGTTCAGGAACGCGTGCTACCAGCCGAGGGAGCCTCATTGGAGATAAAGGCTCTGCCTGCCCTGGGGTGCCAGTGACCTCTAGACCACACCCCCTCTTCTTGTTTTTTGGTTATTTTTGTTGTTGTTGTTGAAAAATAGACAGCGAGAGAGCTGTCATCTGGTGGTCCATTTCCAAAATGCCCGAAACAGCCAGGGCTGAGCTGGGCAGAAGCCAGGAGCTAAGAACCCCATCTGGGGAGTGGCAGGGGCCCAGGTACCTGAGCCATCACCTGCTGCCTCCCCGCGTGTGCGCTAGTGGAAGTCGGGATTGAGAGCGGAGCCAGGGCTTGACCCGGGCACCCCCAGAGGGGATCTTAGCCACTGCGAACGCCTGCCTTGGGCTGGGGGGTCCAGAGAGTCCATGCTGCTCCCTGGCCCCGAACCTGCAGGACCTGTGTCTCTACCCCACATCTTTCAAAGGGAACCTGTACAACCTCCCCCAGGGCTGGAACATCCTGAAAGTTCCAGAATTACAACTTTTTTTTTCAGTGCAAAAATTGTGGGGTTTTTTTCCCCCTGCTCTTAGTCTCTGAGTACCTTGAAAGAAGTAACAAGCCTAACAAGAAGAAACCCAGAGAAAGATACTTTCCCAAGTAACGAAGGAGGATTCCTGACTAGAGTGCATGTGTGTCTTTTTTTTTTTTTTTTTTTTTTTTGACAGGCAGAGTTAGACAGTGAGAGAGACAGGAGAGACAGACAGAGAGAAAGGTCTTCCTTCCATTGGTTCACCCCCCTAATGGCCGCCATGGCCGGCGCGCTGCACCGATCTGAAGCCAGGAGCCAGGTGCTTCTCCTGGTCTCCCATGGGGTGCAGGGCCCAAGCACTTGGGCCATCCTCCACTGCACTCCCGGGCCACAGCAGAGAGCTGGCCTGGAAGAGGGGCAACCGGGACAGAATCTGGCACCCCGACCGGGACAGAACCCGGTGTGCCAGCGCCGCAGGTGGAGGATTAGCCTAGTGAGCTGTGGCACCAGCCAACATGTCTTTTTTTTTTTTTTTTTTAAGATCGATTTATTTATCTGCAAGGTGGAGTTACAGAGAGAAACAGAGAGCGAGATCCTCCATCTGCCGTTTCACTCCCCAGATGACGGCTGGGCCAGGCCAAAGCCAGGAGCCAGGCGCCTCCTCCAGGTCTCCCACGTGGGTGCAGGGGCTCAAGCACTTGGGCCGTCCTCCACTGCTTTCCCAGGCCACAGCAGGCGCTGGATTGGAGGTGGAGCAGCCGCACTGGGCCCACAGCCTTCACACAGCTGTCTGTGCTGCAGCGTGCGCTCCTGCACTTGAACTTGGAGGCACTTAGATGAAACCACAAGGCACAGGGAAATGCAAAAGCGTCTTCTGAGAGCCCTGTCCCGAGCCAGGGGCAGCGCCTGCGTCTTGCGTCCACACAGGAAGCTCATGACTGCGTGTGCCACAGCACCCACAACATCCCCCCTGCTCCACGGGGACAGGAGGGCTCAGGCTGCAACGCCAGGACTGAAAGCCTCGTGACAAACCTAGGGACACTGCCCCACAGCCAGGCGCTCCCCGGTCAGGGCGGCCATTGGCAGACTCATGGGAGACCATGGGCCGGGGCTCCCCTCGCCCAGGGAACCCTGCTCCCACCGGCGGCAACACGCGATGCCCCTGCAAAGCCCGGTGTCCCCCAGCAGGGCCATTTCAGCGACCACACAGCAGAGCGGCCAGCGTGGGGTCACGATGCCGTCGGCCTTTGCTTTATTAGGAGCACTGGAGAAGTTATTAATGTCACCCATGCATCACAGGTGCCTCTGAAAGACAAACACTCATCTCAAAACCACCCACCCACCCACCAGGAACCACGGAGAGCACAGGGCTGTGAGGAGTGAGGCTACACACGGTCCCACTCACGGCTGTGGCTCGGCGTGGGTGTCTCATGCTGGTGCCTTTAGGAACAGGGCTGTCCAAACAAGTCTGAGCCGGGTCTCTCAGGGTCGCCTGTCCCAGGCTGGCTGGCTTCCTGCCGACAAGTCTGAGCCGGGTCTCTCGGGGTCGCCTGTCCCAGGCTGGCTGGCTGGCTTCCTGCCGATGCTGCCCTCTTGGAGCGTGGCTCAGTGATGGGCCGCTGTGCACCTGCTGGGGGGCGCCCCTGCCTGGGGCAGTGGCCCCTTCACACCCACTCGGACCTTTTGGCTCTCAGGTGGGGAGCACTGCTTGAGCTGGCTGGCCGGGTTGATGGCTGGAGCTGACTGCAGGAGCGGTGTGCAGCCAGGCGGCCCCGAGGCCCCGGGGAGGGCTGCTCCACCACCCCAGTGGGGCCTGAGCCACTGGGGTCTATGGGGGCCTCCCTGAAGGGGCTGCCCACTGGCTCTCTGCATGCCCTGGCCAGCTGGTCACTGACTGAGGCCATCCCCTCACTCCCGTCTTCATCCGGAAGCTCCAAGCGCCCGGACCCACGGAATGTGCCACTGGGGCTGGCGGCACCCTCGCCTCGGGGCCACGGGACAGGGCGCGTGGGCACCCCCTCTCCCTGCCACCCACCATCTACATCCTCTGGGCTCCCCACATGGCCACGCTGCTCCATGATGGAGGAGCCCTTGGCTGCTGGCCTGGTCCGGGCCCGCAGGCTAAGGATCAAGTCAAGGACCCCAAGGATGAGGGACAATGCACCGACCGCCCACATGAACAGTGTCACCAGGGACTTCTCCGTGGGCCGGGACACGTAGCAGTCCACCACGCCGGGGCAGGGGGCATGGCTGCAGGAGAACCTTGCCGGGACCAGGAACCCAAAGAGGAGGTAGTGGGAGGCCCCCAAGGCCACCTCCAGCAGGGTCCGGAGACACAGGTGCACGATGTAGCTCCAGGAGAAGTCGGGCAGGCGCAGCGGGCGGCGCTCCCCGCGGAGCCGGTGGGCAGCCAGCCGGGCCGCCCTGTGCAGCACGTGGACAGTGAAGGCGGCGTAGGGCAGGAGCACGGCGGCGCTGTGCAGCACCCAGAAGCGCACAGGGGACACGGGCGAGAAGGCGTCGTAGCAGACGTTGGCACAACCCGGCTGTAGGGTGTTGCAGACGAACCGCTCCTGCTCGTCCTGGTAGACGGGGAGCGCGGCCAGGGCAAGCACCGCCAGCCTCAGCAGCACGGTGAGCAGGAGCCAGACCTTCCCTAGGGGAGAGACCCCGCGTCACCCCACAGAGGTGCCCTTCCCCCGGGGGCTGGGGGACCGAAGCTGGAGACCCCAGCAGCCCACAGGCAGGGATAGGGCAGGTGGCAGTCCCTTGGCTAAGACGTCCTGCCTCCACTTAGGATCCAGCGCCCTGCTCACGCGCACCCTGGAAAGCAGCAGAAGATGGCCCAAGTCCTTGGGCCCCTGCACCAACATGGGAGACCTGGAGGGAGCTCCTGGCTCCCGGCTTCAGCCTGGCCCAGCCCTGGCTGTTGGGGGCATCTGGAGCAAGAACCACTGGTTGAGAATTTTCTCTCCCTCACTGTCAAATAAATACATTCTAAAGAAATGCATTTTAGAGTGTGCCTCGTGGCACAGTGGTTAGGCCGGCACTCAGGGCACCTGCATCCCATCATCCCCTGAGTATCAAGTTTAAGTCCCGGGCAGCTTTTTTTTTTTTTTTTTTTAAGATGTATTTATTTGAAAGGCAGAGTTACAGAGAGAGGAGAGACAGAGAGAGGGAAATCTTCCACCCGCTGGTTCACTCCCCAAATGATGGCAATGACTAGGGCTGGGCCAGGCCAAGCCAGGAGCCAGGAGCTCCCTCCAGGTCTCCCATGTGGATGCAGGGGCCCAAGGACTTGGGCCATTTGTGGCTGCTGTCCCAGGCATTAGGGAGCTGGATTGGAAGTGGAGCAGCCGGGACTCAAACCAGCGCCACAGCCCTGCCCCCCTCCCAAATCAACTTCTTGCCTGGGAGGTCCAGTGATGGCTCAAGTACCTGGGTCCCTGCCATTTGCAGGGAAGACCCGGATGGAGCTCCTGGCTCCTGACTTCGGCCTGGCCCAGCCCTGGCTGTTGTGGGCACTTGCCAAGTGAACCAGAGGGTGCCAGCCCTCTTTCACTCCCTCCCCCACCCCAGACTGTGTTTCTGCAGGTCCTTCTCTGATACTCTGCCTTTCAAATAAATAAATCTTTCTTTTAAAAGAGACATTCTTTTTACAAAGTCAATAGAAAAAGTCTGTGGGAAATGGAATTGAAATCTAAGTGTATTTTGGTGCGGAAAAGAGACAGAAATCCGTGCACAGTCTTCGTGATGCAGCTTTTCCAAGACATTTTTAAAGACTCCTCCTAGGCATGGATTTCGATTCTTTTTGGTGCCACAATGAACCTCCCCTCTAACTCCATTTCCCACGAGCTTCTGGAGGGCCCTCATGCCCAGTGGCAGCAACGTCTCCAGCTGGCCAGCTGGTCTGTCTGACAAACGTCCATGGAACCCCCGGCACGAGCCAGAGGCTGGGGCACCCCTGCTTGCTTGCACGAGGCTTTTTAAACAGCTCGACTGCCAGGGCGCACCTGTGTATCCACCCGACTCTGCGGTTGTCATGCGGCTGCCGTCGGCTGCGGAGTGAACCAGCGGGTGGAGGACCTCCCTCCCTCTGTCCCTCCTCTCTCTGTAACTCTGTCTTTCAAATAAATGCATTAAAAAAAAAAAAAAAAAAAAACAGCAGAGCTGATCCAGAAGCACACAGTGCCCAGGACTTAAACCGGACATCCAGGGGCTGCTGGCGTCCCCATCCAGCCCACAGTCTGCACAGACTGATGACCTCAGTATTGTCGCCCCCTTCTTAGGAGCACAGGCCCTGGGGGAGGCCAGGTGCCCCTGTGCCCAGGCACAGGCCCTGCGAGCTGCGGCTTTGAGCAAGTCTTCACGACAAGGGCTCTAACGGCAGGGCTTCGGACAGATGCACAGACGGGAGTCTACACTCCCTGAAATGGAATTTCTTTAAGAACATTCAGCTTTTCGATAGCTCAGCAGAAAATCCCGGTCCTCAGCTGCTCTAAATTCATGGGGGCTGCCTCTTCTCACCGCATCAGGAATTAACGAGACCAAGCGAGGGAACCAGAGTGGCACTAAGGCCCCCGTTGTACGCCAGGGGTCAGTTCTTGGGGGAGACCTGGAGACCATGCCAAAGTAACTCGCAACTTCTCCGCTCTGTGGTGGGGGCAGAGAGCAGAGAAACAGGTCTCAAAGAATCATCGCACTGGGTGCTGAAGCCATGTGGGCGTTGTACACAAGGAGACTGGGATAAATTCTGCCGAAGTCAGAGAAAGCCAGGAATCAGCCAGCCATGCTTAGGGGTGTGTCGAAAAGGTTACGGAGAAACCGGGACAGAGCTGGGCGCTTTGGAGAGTGCAGCGGGGAGGCAGAACCAGGACGGGCGTTGGAGACTCACCCAGCATGGTCACGTTGCAGTCCAGCGTGACGAGGAGGAACCCCAGCCAGTCCACACTTTCCATGTCCAGGCCGCTAGGACGCCGCTGAGCCGCTGTCTTCTCCCGGGGCGGCCGGCGAGCTGTGCAGGAAGGAGCGAGTTTTCCTCACTCAGGCTCCAAGGAGGGATTTGGAGGTGGGAAGGGGAGGTTTCAGGCCCAGGGGCCAGGAGCTGAAGCCCTGAGCCGTTCGCCTGGGGGCCAAGGCCTTCTGACAACTGCAGAGCCCCCGGACAGCAGGCGCCGTCTCTGGCCATGGGCTATTCTTACCCTGGGGGCTATTCCAGGCCCGGCAGTGCTGCTCAAACGTCTGCAGCCGAACAGCCGGGAGCTCCTGGATATAGCTGAAGAAGCTCCTTTTAGCCCGAGAAGGCCAACTCCACGTGGCGTCCTGACAACATTTGCACGGCCCTGCTTACGGTTGTCTCCCCCGGGGGGCATCGCCTGGGCGGCCACGGCTGCACCTCCCCAGTGGGGACCCCTCCTTGCTCATCCACCCTGCTGAGCGCTCCCTGGGGGGCGGGCAGGGTGGTGATGACAGGAGCCTGACACCGCGGCCAAGCCCTGTGGTCACGGTCACGTACTCTGTCCCGAAGGCCTCACCCTGCATGCTGAGCCACTCGGCATTCACGATGTTAGCGCGGGCGCCAGGCACGTGGCGGGCACGCAGCCCACGCCGGTGGGATTTCTCCAGGGTGCCCTGGCTGTTGCGCCCATTTAGGGAGTGAGCCGCAATTGGAATATCTGTGTCTGTCTCCCTATCTATGTAACTCTGCCTTTCAAATACATATTTAAAAAAAAAGAGAGAGAGAAAGAAACAGAAGCACCAAGAAGGCAACTGCTGACCGTGTCCCACCTGCGGAGCGACTCAGAACAGTTGGGCTCTGAGCGGGTCACAGGTGTGCGTCTCCCCTCCGTGCCCCATCAGCCAAGTGGTAAAAGGGAGGTGTGCGTCTCACCAGCTGCCGCCCAGCGACAGGACCCTCCCACCCCGGCTCCCCGCCCCGCCCCTCCCTCCGCCCTCCCGCCCCTGCCCTGTCCCCAAGTCCATCCCAGCCCCCGTTGTCTTGGTCTCCGTTGCTGTGTCCTGCTCAGAGACATTTATCCTCAATGGCTACCAGCGGCAAGGTGGAGACAGAAGGCAGGGTGTCATGGCCGTCATAACGCTCCCGCATCCAGCAGGTGCCTGCAGACAGAGAACCGACAGGCTACGTGCACCGGTACACGGCCACAGGGAAGTCCCACGGCAGCCCGTCTGCAGGCGTGGGGCCCCGGGGTGCCGGGAGCCTGGCTCAGTCCAAGCCCAGGCCTCAGCGCCAGAGAAGCTGGGGGTGGGCGGGGGCTAGGAGGGGTCGTGGCTACGATGGCTGTGCAAGGTGGGAGTCGAGCCTGTCCCAGCTTCTGCGTGCGGCCTCCTGGGACCCCCAACCACCAACCACATGGCAGGCCCCTGCCTGGCCATCTCACAGGCACACCCAAAATAGCAGCCTTCCAGTTTCTAGGCATTCCTCGGTCCAGCCAGGCTGACGGCTAAAATTAGCCATCACAACTGTTCTCCCGGCTCGGGCGGGGAGCTTGCCGTCTGTGGAGAAGACGGAGGACCTGGGACAGCCCTGAGCGGTGGGCCGTGGGGAGGACGCCAAGTCGGGGCGGAGCCGTGGGGGAGCTGTGCAAGGAGCCCACCAGGCAGTTCACCTGACGAAAGCCGGAGAGAGGAGAACGCAGCCACTCGGGCGCCGGCCGGGCTTCAGCGCTCTCAGCCTGGTGACGGCGGCTAACAATGTGGGGCTCACTCGCACCGCCTCTGGGCCGGGGGAACCACACACCTAACTGCTGATTCAAGCAACGTCCTGGCCATTCACTGGCCTGTAAGAGGCTCTCAGAGACCCATGACTATGGTCAGTGCAGTAAGCTCCAGCCCTGAGTTCCTGGACATCAGGGCTCCCTAGGGAAACACAGGGTTGGGTGTCCCTAGGGAAACACAGGGTTGGGTGTCCCTAGGGAAACACAGGGTTGGGTGTCCCTAGGGAAACACAGGGTTGGGTGTCCCTAGGGAAACACAGGGTTGGGTTCCTGTGAGGCCCCGGGCACATTTCTGTCCATCGGTCAGTACCTTGCTTTGCTTTACGTGTGTTTCTGTTTAGAGACACTTCGTGTCAACATATTATTTAATATGTAATGACATTAATAAACACTATGTTATAAACAATAATAATCAATACACAAGTTATGGCCAAACCACCAAGGAGACACGTGGCACCGAGCAGACAAAGTGCTGGCTGACCTGTGGGAGCTGCGGCAGGGGGCAGAACCTGCCTTGTAGGGCCTGGGCTGGGAACAGGCCCCCGGGACTCCCCAGGGACTGTGAGTGCAGGTGAACTTGCGACTACTGAGTTGAGGACAGGACTGGCCCGGAGAGCAGGGAGGCCGAGGCCGAAGCCGAGGGAAGGTGAGTTGGGAAGAGACACAGCCGGAGCAGCTCCGGGGCGAGGGGGACCCCAGCTGCAGACGCTCCCACACCTCCCCCCAGTCCCCCCCAGCCCATTTCCCTGTTACCTTTTGTGCACTGACCAAGATTTGCCCTGGTCTACAAAGACCCTTGGAGAATTCCAGGCCTCAGCTCTGAGATGTGACAGTGCGACCTCAGGGGAGGAAGCCAACTCGGTCTCCTGAGAAGACCCAGTGCGGGGTGCGGGGGGGGGGGGGGAGAAGATGCCCGAGGCACCTACACTGGGTCTGTGCAGTTCACGGAGAATGCGCACGGGTCTAACACTGAGGCACCAGAAGGAACTCACCTTTGCCGTCCACTCGTGCGCCAGCTGTGTGCAGTCCCTCGCAGACCAGCGGAACCTGTGGGATACGGAGGGAGGCGCAGGTGCCGGAGTCCTGGGCTGGCTGTCCAGCCAAACCCAAGACAGTTTTCCTCCCCTGCCCTAAGTGGTGGAGGGCTTAGGAACACAGAGCTGACTTCCTGGGGCGCTCGGACATGACATCTGGGATTTTTTTTTGTTTGTTTTTTGTTTTTTGTTTTTTGTTTTTTTGACAGGCAGAGTGAATAGTGAGAGAGAGAGACAGAGAGGAAGGTCTTCCTTTGCCATTGGTTCACCCTCCAATGGCCGCCACGGCTGGCGCACTGCGCTGATCCGATGGCAGAAGCCAGGTGCTTCTCCTGGTCTCCCATGGGGTGCAGGGCCCAAGGACTTGAGCCATCCTCCACTGCCTTCTCGGCCCACAGCAGAGAGCTGGCCTGAAAGGGGGGCAACAGGGACAGAATCTGGCGCCCCGACCGGGACTAGAACCTGGTTTGCCGGCACCGCAAGGTGGAGGATTAGCCTATTGAGCCACGGTGCCGGCCATGACATCTGTTTTTGCTGTGTGTGTTTTTAAGGAATAGCTCTATGATCTGACTTGAGCTGAGAATGCTCATCTGCATATGCAAATCTAACAAAGCAGTCCAGCCAATCACCTTCCAAACGAGTGAGCTCACCGCAGGCGAAGGTGACCCCGACTCTAGCCAGAACGTGAACTCCGGAACAGAGCAGAAGTCATCTTTGGCCCAGCCTTTTCCGGGAAACTGAACCCCTGGCCGGCGTGGTCAGCCTCCGCTCTGCCCCACTCACTGCCTCTGAGGTTCACTCACCGGCAGCTCTGCAAAGACAGAATCACAGACACACAGAGAGAGGCCCCCACCCACTGGTTCACTTCTCAGATGGCTGCAACGGCCTGGCTGGGCCAGGCGGAAGTTGGGAGGCTGGGACTCTATCTGGTCCCCGATGAGCGTGCAGGGTCCCAAGCACCCGGGCCTCTTCCACGGCTCTCCCAGGCCATCAGCAGGGAGCTGGACTAGAAGCAGAGCAGCGGGAACCTGAACTGGTGCCCCGGGTGGGATGCTGGCGTCACAGGTGGCACGAACGCATTGTTCAGTTCATCGCATCGGAGCTGGCCCAGGACGCAAGAGAACTTCGAAAAGCTCATGAAACAAATGGAATTAACGGATGTCTGTTTTGGTGAAAACACGTTGGAACATCGTGCATCTATTTTGTCATACTATGCATTTCCCATGAGTTCTCTGTACGTATTAGTTATTGGTGTGCTAATCCCAATTAGAAGTTTGAGGAGAGGGAAATACCGACTCCCTGCATTTGATCAGTAGTCGCCGCATCCAGACATCGGAGGAGCAGAATGTACCCCTGCGAAAACCTGCAATAAAAAGTGACAGGTGAGCCCCAGGTATATTCACAAGCATCGTCCTCACTGAGACGGGCTCCGCACACAGACAACACGCCGTCCTCTCCAGCTGTGACCCCACCATGAATTCCACCTCTGCGGCTCCAGCAGATCCACCTTGCTCTCCCAGTGTTTGTATTTCCCTCGTGCACGCTCGTTGTCAAACTTCCCAAATCTCTGTGGGCAGATGGAGCTCCCAACACACAGCACACAGCCCGGCTTGCTGTGAGACCCACTCTGGATACCACTCCACCCAGGACGTAGTCACGGTGGTTTGTACTGCGAGTGGCAGGGGAGACGGGCACTACTGTGGACGTGGCCAGGGAAAGCCAGCAGGAGATGACCTGAGTGTGGGGGGTCTGTCCACACTGAGACATCGGAGAGGTCACAGGATGGGCAGGGCCGTGGGCTGTTAAAACACAAAGCTGCCAGCACGCATGAGCCATGGGGGGAGTGGGGACGCCTCTGTGGGAAACCCCCAATCCCAGGTTCTGGACAGTTCTTCAGCCGAGCTGCAGGGAGTGGCTGCCACTTGGGGGCCCAGCAGCGCGTCTTTAGTAGCAAGCAGCGCCTGGATCCACGTGGGATCCCGCGAGCGGGCCAGACCCACCAGCTGTGTGGCTTCTATACTCGGCAGCCACAAAAATAGCAGAACTCAGCCGCCGTTCGTGCTAGGAGGAGCACTGCCTGCCCGCTGAGCCGGCGCTGCAGCTGGCGCTCTGTCCCGAGAGGGCTGCGGGCCTGGGGGCCCCGGGAGACGCCGGGCGCCACGAGGGACCAGACCTCCAGCCTGGCCCGGTCTTTGTGGGGAGGAGGGGGGCGTCTGCCGCGAAGAGCAGGCCTTGCAAGGCTCACACATCGCCAAGAACACCCAACGCTCGTTTCTGATAAGGCAAGCGACCCGACAATGCCATCCGAATGCCATGGCTGCCGTCCAGTCCTGTGCCTGCCCCGATGGCTCCGGAGACACTGACCAGCCCCCGCAGAGCAGGCAGGGGTGGGGGTGGAAGACGGCAACTTCTGGAGACTGGAGCTGCTTCCCACCCCCCAACCCCGTCCCTCTCCTTAAGCTGCCCCGCGGCCCTGCCTCCTTCCTTTCTAAATGAGAATCCTAGCTGGCCACAGGGCACACTGCCCAGTGATCAGAGCAGCCGCGTGGACACACACGTCACGTCACGCTCCGCAGCACTGGAGACCTCCTCTCTGGGCAGCTCTGCCCGACACTGTGCGTGATCACTGTGCGTGGCGCCCTGCACCTGCAGCGCTCAGCACGGCTTCTCCCTGCCACCTCCCGCCTCGGCCCCCAGCTTCCCCAGCCCTGGTAACCTCCTTCCGCTCTCTGCTTCTGTGGGGTTTGCTCCAGGTTCCACCCCATCCTCACGGCCTGCACCGGTGCCGTCAGCCCCCAACCACACACACCAGGTGCAGACTGTTCCTTGGCACTTCTCCCCAAACATAGACAACAGTTTACACGGCCTCCACCTCCGGTTTCTAAGTAACCTCAAGATGAGCTAAAGGACAAGGGCAAAAAGTGTTGTGAGGGGCTGGCGCTGTGGCACAGAGGGCTAAGCCGTTGTCTGCAGCACTGGCATTCCATATGGGTGCCGGTTCGAGTCCCAGCTGCTCCACTTCCCATCCAGTTCCTTGCGAATGCCCCTGGGAAAGCAGTGGAAGATGGCCCAAGTGCTTGGGCCCCTGCACCCACCTGGGAGACCCCGGAGGAGGCTCCT